GGTTAAGACACCCGAAATTGACTGCCACCTGGATGCTGCTCTAATAACACCTTAAAGGGGCACTTCCCATTCCATTCAAATCATGGAGATTATAAAGTACCTTGTTTAGGTACCTGTTCCAGTATCGGAGAATAATCCAAAGTCCACCTGCAAGAGCTAGGTGTCAGTGTTCCGCTTTACAGGTAGGTCATTTTATTCACTTGAAAACTGGTAACAGGCCATCTGTGCTGGATTTTAGGTTCACCAACCAGGAATATATACCTGGTATGCTGATTGGCAGCAAACAAAACGCGAAAAATGAACGGCAGTGAATAACGCAGCGTGGCGAGCGTACAGATAATTGCACATCGGCAGAACATCACAAAATGCTTCACCTTTATTCAAAAATCATCTGTACAGGTACGTTTGTGGCCTTCAAAAGGGGTTAAGCTTATCCACACTCCGTGCGGCTGATGGCCCAAAAAGAACCGCTAACGAATCAGCAAATGCCTTACGGGAGCAATATACTCCCACATGTCAAGGAATCAAACCATCACGCGATCATTTAGCCTTTGTTACCCTGCCGCCAAGACAGCTATATCTTTTCCCGTGTAGGCCCTCTTGCAAACTGATCTCTCTGCACAACCACAGCTTCCCGGGGGACGAAATTATTTCGTCGGAAGCATGAAGAGCAGCATCGGTGCAGCTGGTAGAAGCTTTAGCTCAACTTTTCTCCGCTACATCACATAATCGGGTTCCTTTCATGTAAAATAAACCCGGTAACAAGAAAAAGAACTGAGCCTAAAAACTACGCCATGTATTTACTCACGCGATAATCTCCATCGTTGCCTGGACGTTGGTGTCTTTTCTGAAAAGTTGTAATATTATTGCTCCCGAACAACATGCTTCCATCGATATCGGCTGTGCACGACGAATGTACGCAATCTACCAGACGAGCAAAAGCTAAAACTTCCAGGCATGTTCGGTAGATGATATAGCCTGTTACAAAACGATGTGCTAATGATGTACTTCATTCCGCGCTTTTCAACTCAAGTTTACTCCCTGCACTGCACCTCCGCAGTACCACCAGGGAGGTAGATTATTATTTGAAATTAACAAACCACAGCCATCAGGAGTGCGACAAAATGTTCATTTCAATTCCTGTATCACCCGTAGAACACGGTTCCCGAACCCGTAGTTCCTGCACCACTCGGCCCTCTTTAAAAGTCGGTTGGATGACGCACTCAGCCACATACATATTTTTACTCAAGCTTACCTCACTGTTCTACTCCTGAGATATACCTTGCGTTCATTATCTGTCACTTACAGTTGCTGTGAAGCTACGCGGAGTGCAAGACTAATATGTTTAGACATTGAGCTTTGCTACTGATAGCAAAGGTAGTAACCGCTTTTAACATACTCCTTCCTGATAGCCCCAACGGACCACTCAACGGGCTTTTAAATAGATGATAATGTGGTAATGTCAGACAGCACTACGCACTCACGAAATAGTCCAAAACGGTAATTTCGTCCTACTGGAACGGGCTCGAAAGGTCACCTGCACTCAATTCCAAGAGCAATGCATTGAAACGCGTTTATAAACTGTTACACCTAAACATAAATTCATTGAAAAAATGATGCATACCTGACTTTAGATACATGTCAAATAAAGTGGCATATCTACAAGCAAGGAAATATTAATATCATTAATTCCCAGCTCAAGTGCGCCCTCCGCGATTTTCGTAACTTGAATGCTTGTGGTGGATGAGCAGCGTCATGTCACACTTAGCTTGCATGACATGACACTACGTCAATATCCCCATGACTTAGTAACCTAGTCTGTGGGTTTTGGTGTAAGTGCTAGTGGTCATATGTGCTGATCCTGACGGAGCCACGTAATTCTTATTACCGGGCCGTGCTGATAGGACGAATCGACTATCTAGTGCATTGTAGGGCATTTGACCTAAAACTAGTCATAAGTAGGAGTTTAACTAGTTTATTTACTGTACTCTTGGCAATCTTTGAAATCGGGTAAATTTGTAAGATGGTTGAGGCTTAGTTGGCTGCACATAGAAGCTCTGAAGATAATGTAATGTATGCACTTGAATATTGCTTGTGAACACAGTTTTCATGTGGTTGGTTGGCAATGATTTTGTCTTACTTATTTTATTGGATCTTCCTTACTGCATTGCGAGCCACCGTAACGTAGGAGGCTTTTATTAGATGGATACACACAAAGATGTTGCGTTCTGCTTCGTCCATTAGGCTACGGGCGTTGCTCAGCAAATAACGTGTTTCGCGATCATGTGAATGGTTAAAAGTAATAAATTGCTGCTCAGTGCCGTCTGTGTTAACTAGCTGAAGATAAATATAAAACACACAGATTCTTGTTTATGGAAAGGATAGAAGTGGTTCTCGATGGATACCAAGATTTCCAGCTGGAAATGCTCCCAAATGTATGCCTCAACTCGACTTGACACGTGCATAGCATAGCGACCGGTACAAAGATATGACCGAATATCAAGAATATACCCTCACGTAAAGAAGACTCAACGTCTTGGTGAGGAATAATTATAGCTGCAGTGTTCATTATTGTGTCGTTATGGCATACGGGTCCGTGAAACCACCTGTACTAGGAATCCCTAATATTTAGCAGGATTACCTGAGTCAGCCAGATTGTCCACTTTGTGCTAAGTGTAACTCCTGAATCAATGACAGAACTAGTGGTTGCTTCCACGCATATGTCAATCATTACCTCTAACTGCGTGCTACATATAGCCGAGAATAGACTTGCTTTATTTATATTTAATGTTGATATGGATCTAGGTTTTATATGCACTGACTACGCTTAGCACATGTTTCCCCAAGGTGAATTCAAAGATCACACCGCAATTGAGCAGAACTTCCCTGTACCAGGACAAGCGTACGCAAATAAAGTTCGTCAGTGGATGTTGCAAAAGATTGTGTTGGTTTCAGATTAATGTATATACTTCTCAGCTCTCTCCATCACCTATGCGGCAACTTTATGCGAATCAGAGACAACCGACTGAAACTGCGCCTCTATTCTACCTGGCAAGAGTACAGAAGGAGATTTTAAAAAATGTTCTCATCATAACTGTTAAAGCTAGAACGCCCCCTAAAAACTAGGATGTTTCCGCTTCTATTTTGATCAAGGTCAAAAGCAAATAGTTCCTAAAGGTTTCTATTTTCTACCATTAACTGTAATGTCATGGAATACTTCCTTGTGTGTCATTCCTACTGAATTTATATGTCACGTGGACGCACAGAAATAATGCAGGTGGGGGGCGGCTCTTTTTCTCATGAGCAAGTCCAACTATAACAACCGCCTCCGCAGTTCCGCACAGTCACCTTCAATTCTTTACTTACCGCCCTTATTATGTGAAGGTAAAGTTAGTGCGTTCGTTTCTTTACCCCCAGTGTATCATTGTTGTTTCCTTACTTTAGAAGACGATCTGATCGCGGACACTCATTCCTTAAATTTTCAGCCGGAACTATGCGCGGAATTTGTTATGCACAAACCCTCCGTAATGCAGTATCTCTCATTCTACATCGTGTGCTTTTAACGAGCGCCTTAACAATGAACTGGTTATATCAAACTTCATATTTTCCTTAGTGAACACTGCCGCGTAGGTTTTCAGCAACTTCACATCAGGATATACATTTAGGTAAAGAATGTATTACTAAGTGCATTTCATTTGCTTTTGACGAACTTGCAAAATAAAGTATCCGACAGGTTTTATGTATTAGTTTTAGTATGATAATGTAACCGCACTAATCCTAATGAATGACTAAGCGTGTCTTATCCGCAATTATGACACGTGCGCGTCGTCCCATGGCCAAATGGAAGCACGAATACAGACAACTGGGATTTGGTGCAACATGCTATGTATAGTTTGGCACTTGTACCCAGACGAAAGCCTCCGAATACTTAAGGTAAGACAGCTGTATCATGCGAACGCGGACCGCCTTTTGTAACGGCAACCTACCTGAGTAGTGTGTGTGTTGTTAGTGAGTTGTTGCTTTTTCAAAGGTTTGGGTTCCCAATACTGTGGCACACATTAAGCAATACCAACAAACTATACTATGCTATATAATGAAATAATGTATTAGCCGCTGCTGCGAGTTTGCAAACACGTTCCTAGAGTAAACTCCAGCTAACTTTTAGATTGTGGTTTAATGATGTGGTAGGGCGAAGTTCCGAATGGGAGAGTGACTGCGACGCGTCGTTGCTCCACATAGAAATCCATTCTGTATTATTAGTACGAATATTATCCTGTTGGCCTAGTCAGTCACGCACCGTGTGATTTGGACTATTGAATGTAATCTCACTTGCGTAGGGCAACTCTAAAACAAACTCACGAACAGGGTGGCATACAGTCAATAGGTAATGAGTATCAAACATCAGTGAAACCCATGCAATTTGATTGGTGGCCGGCTAAACTTCATAATAGCCCAGCGATTCCTGAGACGCATGAATGAGAAATAAGCTATGGGGAATAGGAATTTAGATTTGCATTTCTCAGAATTTCGACACATAAATGTTTATGTCATTATTCTTAACCAAATGCTTTATTCCAACACACCAGGAAGCCTTCGTATTAGTCTGGTATCCAAGTTACAAACGCAGTCAGTGGATACCACATAAGTGCGAATTTTGTAGCATCAGGTTTGCCCAATGTAAACTCTGCACCAATCCGTTTGAGGGTGTGATCTACTTTGACTATGTTCCCAATTTTAGTTTTGATAGGCAGTGTGGTGGAATGCATGATCCTAGCAATATATTTGAATACTGGTCAATTCAATTCTTTCACACTACAAGGAACGGTTATCTGAGTCAAAATTTAAACACAGGATCCATAGAATTACATCGTTTGAAACCTAGTGCTTAACGATTCCTGAGTAGCAAAGGAACCAGGAAATAATCTGATTCGCTTAAATTATCTTCACTTCTAAATGCCACATTTTGGTAAAGCAGTGCAGCCTCCATGCTTTTGACTTACCAGTGAGCAAAAATCCTTTTTCATTTCATTCCATCTTCTCGGGTAGCTATTCTGTTCTAATTCTGCGTTCCAGGGTACAGGGCTCCCGTGCCTGAGGACCATTGCTGTAGCATGAAGTCCTGTAATATTAAAACGACTGATAATATGGGGAATAAATCATAAAAAGAGGTTTAGATAAGCAAAATAAATAGTACCTTTAAATCCATCCTGTATAAACCAAACGAATAGCCAGGGCATCATTCGCATTTGATTGCATGCAAAAGTGATTGTTCCTGCGGGCTGGATGGAATTTCCGCATTAGTTAAATCGCGTCCACGGAGCCGTCATCTTTGCACGTCACGTCATGGATTTAGCGTCTATAGGGCGACATCTGCACAGCACTTTCTTTCAGCATGCAATTCACCACATTTCTAACAGGGAAACTCACGCATACTACTATTAAGTTAGCTTGTTTAAGAATAAAAATAAAATGTTTATTCAAGTTCATACGAGCATCAATTCATCTTTTTCCTGAGGGATTACGTGCACGCAATATCAGTGACATTCACATTGGTCATGAGTCAGTAGCCAATGGGACTCCATGGATTTAAGTAGAGTGCTAGATGTATGCGTCTATGGGAGACAGTTATGCTCCCGAGTAGGTTGACAGATTGGTGTTAACCAAAGGCACACAAAGATGAGACTGTCAGTGCTGGGGGTCATCAACATACGCTTGACTGTGGCTGGTCAACCTAGGATGAATTGTGTGAACATTCACCTGCAACAACCCTTTAACAGGTCTTTTGTCGGAATTAATTACCATTGGTTTGTATCCTGACCCCGCCGGTAGCCGGTGTCCCTGTGTTAAATTTCCAACGCTTGTCTGAGCAGTCCGTACCGTATCTTTCTCACAAGAGGTGATCGGTCCATGTGCACAGTAATAATGTCACAGTGTCCAGCTTAGTAGTGCCTATGGTCAAAACAATATACCGCATGTAGATAATAATAATAATGATAATAATAATAATGGGCATATTTCTCATCAATTGAAAAGCTGTGCCAATATTTGGCACAGAACATACACGCACAGGTAAGGAAATGTTCTTGCAAGAGCAATATCAAGTTATATTCTTATATTTGTCTGCATTCCTGGCAAGTTGTCTGTCCCATATATTTGGCTTATGCGATTGTAGGAGGCAACTCTGCAGTTTCGTATGTTGTAGACACTGAGGACCAATTACGTTGCGTGAAGTGGTGGTATTGCACCATTAGACGTTATATAGGCATTCATTGAATGGGTGTTCTCAGTAGTCAGTTGCATGAGACGCTTGGTACGCATCCCGGTAAAGTTCATGGAGAAACGACAGCGTACCAGGGCATGATCAGAGCCGACACAGGTACTCCAGTACGAGCGGCAATCCATGATGGAACTACGCCACCTGTAACTTATGGCTATGTGGTCAATTTAGGTCCATCGCTGGCCACCTACAGGAGGACGCCAAGTGGCAGTTCGGCGCCCACGGTGTCTAAAAGCAGTGCTACTAAGAAACAACTGGTGCTCCGCACGCAGCTGCAGCAGACGCTCACCGCTGTCAGTCCGTTCGGAGTTAAGCCCATAATTACCACCCAGCTGAGCTTCTGAAGAGCCCAGACGCCCTACTTGTGCGTTCATAATTCCTGCAACTGCTATAATACCTAGTGGCACTGCATAGTAGCGCTTTCAGTTCGTCATAGAATGTGTTCTTGAGAACATCTGAACTGCAGTCGGTGGCAGCATAAGCGGAAATCAGAAACAAACGGCGTTCTTTAATATTTCGTGGATTAACCTTAGCTGATGTCGTCGAACGGGCTGCACATAAACGGCTGTTCACCGGAATCCAACCAACCAACGATGACTCAGCCTTGGAGCTTAGAATGATGCCTACACCAGCTTGACCTGTGAGTGCTGCATCGCCGTCTCCGGATGCGTGTAACCAATAACGAGAGAATAAGCCAGGTGCAGTTAATTCAATAACCCCGTTAGGGTCATTGATTCTAGTTTCGGACACACAACCCACATTAATACCAAGTGTGTACAATGCGCGTGCGAGTGTAGCCTGTTGACCTGTTTGCTCAGAGTGCGAATATTGCACGTAGCTATGGAAACGGGATAGCGTGGCCTTATAAGTGACTGTTGCTGACAGACGTCCAGTGAGTGTCGCTGGGTGGCTGCAGATGGTTCTACTCCAGTGGCATTTG